AGATGCCGTAATTTCTTTCGCTTCGAGAAGGGATGTGCACAAAGTGCGTCGATGTGGAGAAGGAGGGAGGAATAGGAGAGATCAACAAGACGTGTAGTCATTTTCAGAAACGTGTTCCTCTATTTCTCCTTTCATTTTCGTCTTTGATCTCTTGCGCCTCTTGAGCGCCGCGCAGGTGGCGTTGCTGTTCTCTTCCTGAATGAACTTGGATAGTGCAGCTCGTACCCCTTACAGTCAGGCCGTCCGGATCCTTTTTATAATCTTATTATCAATAATTTCGCACTAATCATGTCCTTACATATTTATGTATATGAAAAATAAGCATTGGAAGATATGTTAGAGGCGGCTATCCCATGAGCATATTATATTATTGACAAAACACAAAAACGATAAAAAGTGAGTTCATCAAAATAGATAATTAGAGTCATAAACACACTGTGCACATAACGATAATTGCCGTATAAACAAGTATTAGAGTCTAAACGCATATGTAGTCAAATAGACACAGACAAAGGTAGTTTTCTTTACACTTACATATATACGCCCATTGATAACACAATACTGGAGCAAGAAATGATAATTATAAACAGCTAATTAAACTTCTGTCTAATAATAATTAAAAATTTGATGCAGTTATTTCATGCTTCCTTGGTTGCTTTACAAAATGTATGTTAATAAATGCTTAGATCATTGAATAGTTTGTTTCAACCACTCGGTCTTTTAATCGGCCTACGCTGTTTTCATTTTACTTCTGTCTTTGACTGGTCGATGGATTCGTTCGTTCCTCAATTTTCCTGCCTCTCGCTGAACACAATTTCTCGGAGCACTTCTAAGTGCTGCAGTCTCTTTTCGTTTCGATCTTCGTTATGATTCCACCCACTGCTTCAGTCTGCGTATCATGTAAGACACGAGTGCGCGGTGTGTGTTTTTGTGCTTGCTACTTGCTCCACAATCCTCATATGGGTCGCCCTCCGTACGCACGCTTATATATACACTTTTTACACAAAAAAAAAATGCAATGTATACATGACCGTCTATATATCCCTACTGAAACGATCCGTATGCGATGTCCAATAATTCCGTATGTTTCCGTAAGATTATTACGGAAATATATGGAAAATATATGTGAAACATATGTAGTCTTATGTAAACATACGGAATTATTGGACATCGCATACGGAACGTTTCAGTAGGGATATCAGGCTTCCTCGACGTCACTCTGGATGCTCTGAATAGCACATACAAAATCGTGTCTCGAAAAGCCAGAGAATGGTTGCTGTAGAGGCGTTTCTTTGCGACGACGCTTGGGTAGTTGAGTATGTGGTGTTTTGCTTCGGAGATTGGTACACCCAGTGGGTGGTTGAAATGAAATGAAAAAAGTTTGGTACGTACTGAATGGAACGGAGTGGGATGGGACATAATGCACTGTGATGGAATTGAGCGTGATCTAACAGAACGGAATGGTATGAATTTTCGCCTTCGATGAGACAGGCCTTCGCCGTAACATATATTTTGTGTGAACAGCTCATCGTTAGAAGCTCTCAGCCGTGTTTAAGGATGCGCACGTCTTTTGTCCACTTTTTATGGTTTCACTTTCCGTCTCCGCGCTTCTCTACCAAATACGTGTTGCCCGAAGTGTGTTTTACAAAAGCACGAATAGACAGAAGGGAGGACACAACACTTCTCAATTTTGTGTCACTTTGCGCTAAATATTGACTTATGGCTCACAAACAAGGACGAATTTCTCCCCTTGTGAATATCAATTCTTAGTGTGTACTTATGTGTAGCTGCACACATGCAGGTAAGCGTACACACTGACATGCATATACTAATTCAACCCATTCCTTAACCCTAAACCCCTTCCCCTAACCCGCTGCTCCCCCCCCCCCCCAAAAAAAAAACTTCTACATACTTTTCTTCTATTTGGGCCAATGCATAACCGCATGTGCAGCTTTATCGTTGCACCTGTCCTCACTTTACGCTGAAGGCGCGTTTTCTCCAAAAGGTACTAACTTCCAAATTATTCAGAGCGTTTTTCAATGAAGAAAACCTTCGTTTATCCGATCTGCTATGCTCAATCATCAGCTCATTACGTTCGCGTGAATACGGTACGCACATGTAAGCACATATATGTTCATAGCAAAAAAATGGCAGCATATCCACGGAGTGAATGATGGAGAGTGGGGCGAAACATTCGTCCGTCCATGCGTCCGTCTGTGTGACCGTCCATGCGTCTGTTCGTGCGCCCGTCCCTGCGTTCGTTCATGCATCCGCCCCTGCGTCCGTTCATGCGTCCATCCATGCACCTGTCTGTGTGTCCGTTCGTCCATCTATTCAACACTCCAAGTCCCACCATCTCGCACCTTTTTATCATATATTTCCCATATAGAAGCACCGCCATTCAGTGGACATTCCAAGGACTAAACGAGAGGTGGCACACGCACACTTTCTTACGGCTTGCGCTTCGGGTCTACATCCCACCTTCAACCACCTTGAGTTCATGGTATATACTAGTTCACTGTATTCATGGCACTGCGGCCCAATGCTCGCTAAACCTTTCTAAAACTAAGGAGGTTACACCCAGCGAGTATAATGTAGCAACCCTTTCTTGTCCGATAGTGCTCAATTTACATGCCAATGGCTGCTAATGGTGATCGCAGCGTGCGCGTTGACTAAAAGCCGAATGCTCCTGTCTCTCATTCCCCATTAGCAGCCATTGACATGTACATTGAGCACTATTTTTTATTGTTAAACAACGCACAGAAGAAACCTCTCACCGGCACCACCTTGGAGGTCAAATGTTATACCTATTTCGGGTATGTGCCACTGGTGGTTACGTACTACGAGGGACGCACAAGCCACGCCATAAGGAGCTTCGCCCCTAAAACGTCACTCAGCGCGTGAGACGAGTTTCAATGGCACGTTTCGCGAACCGGCTGGAAGAGTTAAAGTTGTTTCTTACTCTTCGTCGTCGTCTTTTTTTTTTTTTTTCCTGGCGCACGCAACACACTACGAAGCGTGTATATACACATATACTCATTTACATACATGCACGGCGCTTTGGGTGCGTCGCGCCGCCTCTCACGCAAAACGTCAATGGTTCACGGCCACCTCCTGTAGCTCGGTCGCGAATCCAATCCACCACACGTCTGCGAGCTAGAAGGAATGTCCCGATTGCTTCTCATTACGACGCGAGCGGCTCGTTCAAGCAGTCTCTCGGGAGGCGGAATCAATTATCTGCGTACGTTTTGTACAAGGGGCGTTCCCGTTGCGAATGCCGGAGCTAATGATAATGGTCTCTACGCGGCCGGAAGTCGGATTTTTAGTGAAGTAGCTGAGTGCGCATTAAAGTGCACGCTATGAAAGGGAACGTGCATCCCTTTGAGCTGTACGTTTTTTTTTTTCCCTCTCTGGCACCTGCACAAAATGCTCGAGGTCACGGATTTAACCCTTCGGCAGTGGTTGTCGCATTCCGATGGGCGACGGAGTGCGCATGTCGACATCGAGAATCAGACCGAATGAGAAATCTAAAGTGGGTCCGAAAGAACGGAGATTTGTTGTTGACATGTGATCGATTCTGGGATATTTTTAGGTTTAGGTCGCGTTTCTCGAAATTCGTTCATTCTTAAAAATGCTCGTATCTATCTATCTATCTATCTATCTATCTATCTATCTATCTATCTATCTATCTATCTATCTATCTATCTATCTATCTATCTATCTATCTATCTATCTATCTATCTATCTATCTATCTATCTATCTATCTATCTATCTATCTATCTATCTATCTATCTATCTATCTATCTATCTATCTATCTATCTATCTATCTATCTATCTATCTATCTATCTATCTATCTATCTATCTATCTATCTATCTATCTATCTATCTATCTTCGGTTAAAATACGTCTAGTTATGTTTCTTTAACTGTCAGATTATTTCTATTTTTTATCCGCCTGATTATCCATCTTTAAATCTATCGACGCGGAGGTAATGAAGGGCTTCGGATCGAGGTGTTTAGTGAGTACGAAATATTTTGAGTTTTTTAAAGGGTTCATGTACTGTTAAAACCGCATACATTGAACCCGCATATAACGAATTATTGTGTATAGTGAATATTTGTTAAATGCTCTTGAGTATGATGCAAAAATACTTTATAGATTGATTTACCTGTATATAAAACTTTTTGGTGGACCCCTTCAGATCCGATAAGTACGGTTTCGACGATGACAAAACCAATGACAAAAATTGTGGTACGATTGCTAGAACTATGACGTAATTCATTATTTAGTGCGCTACACTTGACAAGGGTAAAGAGAGCAAATTGAGACGTGAGTAAACTCTCAAATGATTTATTAGAATTAAGAACCTACTTAAGGACATCATCCTCGCAAACATAACAAACGGTACCTAAACACGCGGTCGAATTCCTACGCCGTGATCATACATTGATCATACATTTACATTTGTATGATCAACTAAAATACTGTCAGAAAGCCTTAAGAACATTTGCTGTCACCATCATCATCTCATCGTCAGCCTGGCTACGCCCAATGCAGGGCAAAGGTCTTTCGCATGTTCCACCAGCTTACTTGGTTTTGTGCTCGTTTGCTATTGTAGTCCTAAGGGTCCAATTACTTCAAGGGGGAACTGCTTTCTGCTACCACGTTGTATCCGTTGTATCTGCAAACGTAATCTTATCTGTCCACAAAATTTTCTGTCTACCCAAACCGGACTTGCGTCTGGTTAATCTCCCAGCCTTTCCTTGCATCTTTATCTCTCTCTTACTCATCCACCAGCATCCACAGCTGGTAATGCACTCTCTCACCAGGGCAGGATCGGCCACCCTGGTGTAGTACCTGGCCACTACCTTTTATATGAATACACTATTGCTGTACACTAGACGGCAGAACCCTTGTATGATTACGATATAGAAACCTGTGACTGGCCGACTTGATTATCAATCTGCGCATGCTGTGTGTGTCTGTATTGCAGGAGG